TCAAACCACTTCCTCCTACTACTACTAGAAAGTTTTGAAATAGCCATCTGTCTTAATGTCTACCCAGTTGTGAAGAGTCATTATCCTTTGATTGAAAGTAGTTCATGGCACTTTCTCCTAGATCCTATACTAATTCAGGCCATTGAGACTGTCAAGAAATGCCCAGAGCACTTCCTTTTCATTGTTAATGCTTTTCTTGATCTCCCAAATGCCTGGAGCCTGATGCCAAGCCAGTGGCCTCGTTCCAGTAACGTGTCTAGACCCCAGTCTCTTGCCCCTGGATGACTGTTCTCACTCGCTTCTTTCCTAAGACAATGACCATCGGAGTGAGCACTGGATGGAGAATCAGAAGACCTCAGTCAATCAGCAGTGTGTGCATCCCGAGAGTTGTTCCTCTACTCCCATGCCATCACGTGCAATTATCTGAGGCTGGGCCGCACCAGCTTAGGGTCTCACAAGGCCCAACCTGTCCCATGCTCATGTTCTTGCTAGTGAGGAGTCTATTTCCTACTCATCAGAGCCTAAAGTGTAAATATCAATACTTCTCTTTAAGTCCATCATTCAAGGGGACTTTGTACTGACCAAGCTCTATGTGAGCTTCCAAGTATATTAAGTAACCCAGGGGATGGGAAATAACTCAGGTGATAATATGCTAGCCGTAAAAGCTTGTTGACTGAAGTTTAGTCCCCAGGTTTTTCAAAAACCATGTGTTTGCAATTCCACTCCTGAAGAGGCAGACACAGATGGATCCATGGGACTCTGGCCAGCCAGCCTAGCCTTGTTGGTCAGCCTCAGGTCAGTAAAACACTGTGTCTCAAAACAAGTTGATAATGACAAGGAATGATCCCAGAAGTTGTCCTCAGACCTTCACAGACACAAGAACACATGTACCTATGTGTACACAAACATGCACATTCACAAAAATAAATAGATGATAAATAGATAGATGATAGATAGATAGATAGACAGACAGACAGATAGATACCTCATTACTTCCAGGAAGCACACAAATGAAAACCATGATGTTTAGAAAATCCTGAGAAAGGGCACAAGCGGTAAGAAGGAAGACAGGCATTCAGTTTTGCCCCAGAGGCATGCAGGTTCACACTGACTCTTGACTAGTAAATCAGTTTGAGAAGGAAAAGTCTTCCAAGAGAAGGGAACCATACATGCGAAGGCCAAGATCTGGCTCAAAGACCTAGAGTAATCCAACACAGTTGCTGTGTGGCGTTTGTGGGTGAGCAACAAAAGGAGTAGAACATAGGTGAAAGCATGTGCAGAGGTCCCTAGACCTTGAACTCCCCCTACAGAAGGAATCTGTTGAAACTTCCAGTGCCATTTGATGTCAAACACAGATGACTTTAGTACAGTTTGTTTTGAACCTCAGACTCTTTGTTAGTTTCACAGCAGAATTTCTGACTAAGACTTGAAAATGGTCTTCAAACTAAGACAAATATTTAGAGTTTTAAGAACTAAGCCTACAAATTTGAAGCCACGGGAAAATCAAATGTCAGATGTGCAACTTTGCTTTCCCTAATTTAAAGCAGACTTTGTTTTCTGGTGGAAGATAGATTGACATCCCCCTGCTTCTCAATAACATGGTAGAAACCACTTCTAAAGAGCCAATGTTTTATGTTATAGACAACAAAATTAAATAAGGTAGCAGAAGAGAAAAAAAGTGACGTCAATATGGCTTTAACCATGAATCAAAAGAAATATACCCCAAGTTTCACTGAAGTCATTCCAGTCTTGATTGGAGTAGAAGGGAAAAGTGAAGTTTTCCATCTCTTGATTCTCTTTGCTTTCCCCTGCCCTGACCCTAATAGTCATTCTGAACAAATAGAGCTTGCTCAGCAAGAAAGAGGGGTTTCATGCCTCCTTCTCCGTCCTGCTTAATGTGGAGAGGGTGCCAGGGGATGCTTGGATTCCTGAGTACCTGATGGGTCTTTCCCCTTTACCTACATGTGGACTCTGCCACAATGCACAACCTAGCAAGAAACTCATTTTCCTTTTAAAGACAAGACAGCCAGAGTTCAGTAAAATAACTGAATCTGCTAAGGTCACTTAGCTCCAGTAAAACCATGTGTGTCTGACACATCAGAAACTGACCCCCAAACATTTAGATTCACTGTCTGCTTCTGTGTCCCAATTCCTTTGTGTATCCAGAGACTTAGTTAGTAGGAAGTATATGTCTGCACATGAGTCTATGAATAAAGGATTTAAAGGAATTTAATAAAATAAACTATTAACTGTTTAACCATTTGAGAGATAGTTGCTGGGCGTTATGATGTACTAGGCTTACTCTGGGCTCAAATCAGGCTGGCAACCCCGGGGCCCTCATATAATTCATGATGCACTGGCAGAGCAAAACTTGGGTCGAGGAGTAAGAAAAATACTCTTGGCTCTGCCACCTGTGAGCTGTGTGACTTTGGTCATGGTGCTTAACCTCTACTTCAGCTCCCTCATCAGTATAGAGAGAGACACATGAAATGTCTTTCTTTACAGTGGTTCAGGATTGGATGTATTCGCAAAGCAATTGGAGCATGTAAGTATCATTATAGAAGCACTGTGGGAACAGAGGTAGTTAATCCAATATTTAGCACATTCATTTCATGACACAATATGAAGATGAACAATAAACCACAGACTGATTAGGGCCTGTTGATGGGGGTGCAGAATCTTAGTGGGATAGCCAGTGGAGTCACACTGAACAATTGTCATTAGAAGTCCAGTGACTTTGAAGAGTCACATTTGAGCCTTGTGCTAATGACTTGGGAGGAGTAGAATGTGCCTCTATCTGTGTTGCAATGTCAGTTGCCTTGCAATGTCCAGTGTAGGGGTTCATTTAAGAAAACTGCACCCACACATGGCTATGTGATGTGATTCATTAATGCTCTATAAGAGACAGGGCATTAAAGTTATCTCAGGTACCAATGAAAAAGTTGTGTACCTAGAAGGACAAAGTCATTTCTGAAACATCCCTTTATGATAAGAACAAGTCTTCCAAAGTTAATCCTTGATTCCCAGGGTGTGCTTACAGTCCTTATCAACTTGATAAGGGTTGTACTTGCTGGCTCCTGGGCTTGTACACTGTGTGCCCTCAGCAACATGTGATTTTCTTTCAGACCACACCTGACTGTTGCTTTAGTGTCTCCCCAAGCCACATGGCCATCCTCCCTCTGCAATGGCATGGGGGAGAGCTTCAGAGAAAGGTATCTAGATGGCCTTCTGATCACCAGAGATGTACAGGCTTCTACTTCCAATGAAACTGTCCAGTCACCTAGGAGGTTCCTCATGCTTCCCCAAGGCATTGCTTCTGTGTTTAGTCTGGGTTGTCTCCAGAGGAGAATGATGAAACAGCAAAGGCCTTGGAAAGTGTCTGTCACTGCCTGGCCAGCTTGTCCCTGGGGTTTTGCCAGAGGATCTTCAGAGCTAGATTAAAATTTGTGAGGTAGGCATAAGAGGAAAAGAACCACTGATAATCTACCAATCAAGCTAGAGGCTTCTATAGGGAATGCTGAAATCAAGGTGATGTCATCCTGGAATGTTCTTGAAAGTATCCCCACATCATTTCAAAGAAGATACTGGAGCTGGGGTAGGGTAGTTAGGCAGCATAGAGCTGGGGAGTGATAATGCCCGAATCTGGACATCATCAGAGCAAATGAGATGCAACCTTTTGGCTGTGACACTTCTTCACATCTGTCCTAGATTGCTTCTTGTTGCTGTGATAAAAGACAAAAACTAAAACCATCATGGGAAGGGACAGGTTTATTTACTTGCAGGTCACCATTCATCATCAAGGGAAGCCAAAGTAGGAAGTCCAGGCCAGAACCTGGTGGCAGGAACCGAAGCAGTGACCACAGAGGAAAGTTGCTTACTGGCTTGATTTCCATGGTTGCTTTCTTACACGGCCTTGGACAACCTCCCCAGGAGTGCTACTGTCCACAGTGGACTGGACCCTCTCCATCAATCATTGTATTAGTGACTTTTCTGTTTATCTGATAAAACACCATCACCAAGGCAGCATGTAGAAGAGCTCATGGTTCCAAAGGGATGAGAATCTGCTGCCATCACACAGGAAAGCAGAGCAGTTAGCAAGGAAAGTGACTGGAGCAGAAGTTGGGAAACTCATATCTTGAGCCACAAACAGGAATCAGAGAGAGTTAGCTGGGAATGACACATGACTTTGAAATCTCAAAGCCCACTCCCAGTGACGTATTTCCTCCAGTAAGGCCACCCCTTCCTCCAAACTGGCCAAATGGGACTAACAACTGGGACAGAGTATGCAAATATCCAAGACTATGGGTGCATTTCTTTCAAAGCACCACAACCATTAACCAAGAAAATGCCCCCAAAGATATGCCCAAACCCAGTCTGCTAGAGGCTCCTTCTCCAGGTGACTATCCAGCACATCAAACTTCCAAATCTTCAGCTCTAGGTAGGAATCAGGCTTTGCCACCCACTGGCTGTGGGGCTATGGGAACATCACTTGGCTTCTCTGTGCCCTGCTTCCTCATCTGTAAATGCATAGTGCAATGTGTATTGTGAGAATTAAAGAGTATGTATAAAGGTGTCTCACATACTGTAGGTCTTCTCCAACAATGACAACAGTTCATTGGCCTGCTCCATTATGAATCCAACTGTCTTCAGAAATGTTTCCCACCCCACAGCATTGGGAGACCAGGTCTAGAATGATGTAGACTCCATCCCTACATAGCAACTCATCTAAGATTTGAAATTTAGGGGAGGTAGTCTGTCCCAGGCCTACCTTGTGATAAGAAGGCTCTACATTAGAATGGATACTCATGGGAGGGCACTATATAGATGTAATGAGAATTCAGCAAGCTAAAAGTGGGCTTTGTGATTGTAAATGCCAGAAATAAGAACTCAAATCCAGAGCTTTTATACCAAACAAAAGGAATAGTAGGCCTTCTATTTCTGGTCCACTTTTTAAACTTATATTCCTGGTTTAGAAAGAGAACAATAAACAGGTCAGAAAATATGGCTCATTATTAGTGTTTATCTTAGTTACTGTCCTATTGCTACATCATGACAACTTATAAATGAAAGCATGCAAGGGGCCTAGCTTACAGTTTCAGAGGGTTAGTCCATATTCATCATGGTGGAGATCGTGGTAGCACGCAGGCTGGCATGGTGCTGGAGCAGTAGCTGCAATTTCAGATCTGATCCATAAGTTGTAGACAGAAAGAGGTTGAGATTGGGCCTGGCATGGGCTTTTGAAACCTCGAAGCCCTCCACCAGTGGCATGCCTCCTCCAACAAGGCCACACCCCCTAATCCTTCCTAAACAGTCCAACAACTGGCAATCAAACATTCAGTACTTCACAGTCTCTACACTGTTTAAAACCCAAAGTCTCTTTTGACTTAAGGCAATCTCTTAACTGCAACCCCCGGAAAAAACGAATTCTAAATACATATTTCCAACATACAATGGTACAGAATATACATTACCATTCCAAAGAGAGGAAAGAGGATATAGTGAGAAAATATGAGATCAAAACAATACTGAAACACAGCAGAGTTCTACAGCTCTGATATCTAAGGGCCTAGATGACTCTTCAGATTCCCCACTCTTTCCAGCTTTGCTGAATTTGGCTGGCTTCACGTTCTGCCTGCAGCTCTCCTTGGCAGGTAGCCCACAGCTCTGGAATCTCCAGCATCTTGGGGTCTCTGATGAAATCCAGGCTTTGCCTTCACAGCTTCACTCAGTGGCCTCTCCAGGCCCCCATGCAGGGACTTCCCTACCACACATCTAGCCGTGGCAGCTTTCTTTAACGACGGAGGAAGATTCCACAATCCATTTACTCTTGTACCCCTCTTGGTAAAGTCAGAACCACATGAGCAAAACTGCCAAACTTGTTGCCTTCTGGGGCTGGAATCTGGCCCCATCTGTGAATTGAATTTACTTACGCTCTAACTTGTTGATGATTTGGGGGTGGAGGAAATTTCTCAGCCTCTTCCTCTCACAGGGTGTAGGATTATCTGGGTGGGGTCTTGCCTTGAGGGCACCACTCCCTTTATTCCACTCTCCTAAGTCTTTCCTTAAACTTCTCATTTCTTTGAGCATAAGACTTGACTCCAACATTGAATTTCCTGGTGCTCTTTTTCTCCTCAAATTGTACTTTTATTTATTTATTCTTTTTGCCCTGCTTGCTCTTTTTCATTGTAAACCTGTGTAAGAGTGATCGCTAATAACCACAACCATGTGACACAGTCAATACTAGGTTGTCTGAAATCCCCTCTGCTAATAAATGACATTACTCCAAAACTCTTCAATTCAGCCTCAGGCTGAATTTGGAAAAGGGCAAAAAGCAGCCACATTCTTTGTCAAAATATCACAAGCATGATTTCTAGTATTATTCCCTGCTAAAACCTCTTGAGATGGACATCCACTGTCTACATTGCTATCAGCATCGCTGTCTTCTATGCTACTACTAGGATGATTCACTAAGCTCCTCTTAAAATGTTCAATTGCTTAGCTAGCCAAAGTCCCAAAGACTGCCATATTTCTCCAACAAAGAGCATGGTCAGGTCTGTCCCAGCATTACCCCAGTTCCTTGTACCAGCTTCTGTCTTAGTTACTGTTACATTGCTGCGAGATGACGCCATGACCAAGGCAATTTATAAAAGAAAGTGCTGTGGAATATCCCTTTACACTGTGTGAAGATATGGTAGTGTGGCTGGTTTAATAAAAAAGCTAAACAGCCAAAAGCTAGGCAGGATTTGGGGGGCAGAGAGAGTACTGGGAAGAAGGGAGGAGTCACCAGCCAGATACAGAGGAAGAAGCATGGACATTACACAATAAAGGTAACCAAGCCATGTAAAATAGTATAGATTAGCCGGGCAGAGGTGGCACACGCCTTTAATCCCAGCACTCGGGAAGCAGAAGCAGGCAGATCTCTGTGAGTTCAAGACCAGCCTGGTCTACAAGAGCTAGTTCCAGGACAGCCTCCAAAGCCACAGAGAAACCCTGCCTTGAAAAAACAAAAAACAAACAAACAAAAAATGTAGATTAAAAGATATGGTTAATTAAGTTATAACATCTAGTTAGAAACAAATCTAAGTTATTGACCAAGCTTTCATAATTAATAATAAGTCTCTGTGTCATTATTTGTGAGCTGGCTGGTAGGACAGAAGAAATCTGCCTACAAGAAAGCATTTAATGGGGGTCATGCTTACAGTTTTAGAGGGTTATTCCATGATTATCATGGCAGAAAGCATGATGACAGGCAGGCAGGTATGGCATTGGGGGAGTAGCTGAGAGCTTACATCTGGATAAGCCCTTGAAGTATGGGGGGACTGGGCCTGGCATGGGCTTTTGAAATCTCAAAACCCATCTCCAGTAACACCCCCTCTCCAAGAAAGCCACACCCCCCAATCCTTCCTAAATAGTTCATCACTAGGCACAAACAGACATTCAAATAGATGAGCCTAAAGGGCTATTCTTATTAGGACCACCACAATGCCCTTTCACCTGAGACACAGAGACACTTGGAGAAATGTGCCTTCAGACACTAGTTCCACTGACTAAGCTGGTGATCCATACTGGCAACAAGGAAAGAGATTGGTTACTTTCCTACCAGGATTCTGAAGACAGAAAGAAACTTCCTAGCATCAGACCACCTTCTCTGAGTTTTAAAGGATGCCTTTCCAAGCAGTTAAAGGCAGAGGGCCACTGAAGACAAAGGCTACATCATGGCCACAAGCCTGGAGGTGATAGAAGCTCCACACAGTGTTTATTATTGAGAGAAGTAGAAAGGGAGACGAGGGGCTTTCTAGCATTTCCAAGGACTCCAATTTTGACCTATTGTGTCTCTAATGTCATTTGTATGAGACTCTTACCACCTCCATGAGTTGGGTTACTAATTCCCATTTTATAGATGAGAAATTCAGGTCTTGGAAAGGTTATGAATGCCTAAGGTCATGCCCCTGAACTGGACGTTCAATCCAAACCTGTTAGGTGATCAAACCCAGGTCATGCTACTTAGACCAGGAGTTCAGCCCAAGGTCTGTCAGGTGAGAGGCTCACGTGTCTCGGTGTCATTACTTGTCATCCCATGACCCAGCTTTCCTATTTTCACTAATACCTGTTGGTCTCTGCTACATGCCTACCCTTCTAGCTGGGAGTGGACCAGCCTCATCACTAAAGCTTCGCCCTCACCAAGATGCACTCTAACAGGTTTGGGAATAAACGTCCATGGTGATTTAACTAAACTAAATTGACATGAAGAAAGCGAATGTTGGCTGGGGGTGGAAATAGGGGAGACGAACTACTTTCCTTGTGGGAGGAGCTCTCTGAAGAGGTTGATATGTGGATAAGCCTTGAACAATAAGGAACAAGCAAAAATGAGATCTGGGGAACACGCCATATGCGTAAGAGAGTCAGAGGACTGGGGCAGGCAGCACACTGTGTGTTTGGTGCTCTACAGAAATTCTATCGGCCCTGCAAGAAAGAGACGTGCGGACAGAAAGGGAGATGACTCGAAGAGATGCTGTCAGAGCCACATGGACAGCTTGTCTAGGAGAGCTGTTCAAAGGCCTGGCCCAAAGAAAATACACCACTCTACTTCTTTCTGACTGCGTGACACTGAAAAGGTGACCTAAACTCTTTGGACCTCAGGATCCTACTGTGTGCAACAGAGGTTGTAAGATTTGCCTCACTGGCTGGAGCATGAGATTACATACTAAACGCTGGCTTGTCTCCTTGTTAAAGACCTCATCAACAACATCTGTAGGTGATTCTGAGTCCCCTAGCATGCTCTTGAACATGATCACCAGAAAGACTTAGGCAATCTGTTGCTAACAAATAGCTCATCATTTGTCCATCCTGATAAGTATCAGGTTTCCAACCAGACTGGCTACTGCCGAGTGGTTCCCTGTCATGGGAGCCGGTGTTGGGGGCCATAGCAGTCTGTGGAACTGGGAAAGACTCTGCGGTGAAACTAAAGACCTAAAAGCAGCCTGCAGTTGCTTTTGAGAAGCATTTCCTAAATTATGGCATACATACAAACTCCCTGGGATCTGGTAGCAATGCAGATTATGAGTGGTGTGACTGGGCCTGAAACGCTAAATTCCTCACACTTTCTTTGGTGAGGGCATTCAACCAGAGCCTCATCAAAGGAGGGGGAATTAAAGAAAGGAATTAAAGTCAATGACCTCCATTGCACAGGAAAAGCTGGCCACCGCGGCATGGGAAAGTCTCAGTGTGTCATCATTGCTTTCTCTCTGAATGCTCCTAAAATCCCACCTCTGCACTGGGCCTTGCTGTAGGTAATTGAAAGTTGTGTCTGCCTTGCTCTGTCCTTGTAGTGGAGATCCAATTAAGCCAACAGAATAGGCTAAATACATGTCCTGAGGACTTGCAGGGTTAGCACGAGAGGGTCAGGCAAGGGATGCTTAGAACACAGGTATAGTCATAAAGAAGTCTGCAGACAGATGAACCAGCATCACCAAGCTGCCTAGCAATAAAAGGTTCCCACCAAGCCTGATCCATATCAGTTGTCTGGTCCAGTGCTTTGCCCTTGCTGAGTCTTCCGTGAGGCATGGATCAAGTGTTGCAAAAGAGAAGCTCCCAGCTGTCCTTCCTCAGAAATGCCAGATCAGCTGTCCCTGGACTAGAGAAATATCTGGGAGTCAGAGTTCGACATCACCTGACAGGCATGGCAATTATGAAACTCATCTCCACCCCCCAAGCACGTTGCACCACCAATGCCACCCAGGCATGGCTTCAAATGTCCTTCTTCCCACAGACTTGTGACTAGGAAGTGTGGTTGCACTTTGATTGCTGCTAATAATAGTCCTTACTCTATTTTTTTGAAACAATGAACTTTGAAACATGTGATGGCAGTCAATCACATCAGCTGATTGTCCCTTGGGTGAGCTTCCTCAGAAAGTCAACTCCCAGCACCCTGGGAGCTCCCAGGACCCTTTGAGACAGAAATGAAGCCAACACAAGCAAGGTCTCTATGCCAGGCATGCACACAGCTTATTTAAATTAAGCGAAGGTGGCACACACAGGTTTGGCATGAAACTGAGCACTTCCGTGCACTGTCAGCCAATCCACTTACCTCCATCACTGTTTGGGGAACACATCTATCTCTTGCTTGCCTTATGGAAGGTATCGATTAGAAGCTAAGCCGAGCAGGTATCATGCTGGGAGCACTCAGTGAATGAGGAGAGGAGGGTCTCACTAAGCTTCCAAGCAGGCAAAGGAAGACAGTTTTGAAGTCATTGACTGCCTGTCTTGTTAGGGCTTCTATTACTGTGAAGAGACGCCATGTCCACAGCAACTCCTATAAAGGAAAGCATTTCACTGAGGTGGCATCTTAGAGTTCTAGAGGTTTAGTCAATTATCATCATAGCTGGATATGGTAGCTTACAGGCAGACACGGTATTGGAGAAATAGGTGAGTGTCCTGCGTCTTGGCTTGCAGGAAACAGGAAGTGGTCCATGTGTTACACTGAGGGAAGCTTGAGCAAAAGAGACCTCAAAGCCTGCCCCCACAGTAGCACATTTTCTCCAATAAGGCCACACCTACTTCAACAAAGCCACACCTCCTAATAATGCCACTCCTTTTGGAGGTCATTTTCTTTCAAACTACCACACTGCTGACCCCACTGTCTCTTCATTCTACATTCTCTCTCCTTGTTAGACTCACATTGCCTTACTTTTCTATAGCTGTCACAAGACACCATGACCAAGGCTACTTATAGAAGAGTTTACTGGGGGCTTATAGTTTTAGAGGGTTAGACCCTATGGCCTTAAGGTGAGGAACATGGCAGCAGGCAGGCAGACATGGTGCTGAAACAGTAGCTGAGAACTTACATCTTGATCCGTAGCATGAGACAGAGAGTGACCTAATTGGGAAGAGTACAGGTCCTTGAAACCTCAAAGCTTGTGCCTAGTGACACACCTCTTCCAAATAGGCCACGCTTCTTAGTCCTTCCCATATAGTTCTACCAAGTAGGGACCAAGTATTTGAACATATGAACCTATGGGGGCCATTCTCATTCAAACCACCAGGGGCATCCATTGCCATAAGCTCTGCAAAGCTCTCACTAGAGCCAGTAGGCAATGAGCTTCCTTTCACGGGATTACAGAGCCGGAGCATTGGCTTGTCCTGGACAAGGCAGGTGGAAAGGACAGAATGACAGATTGGGCTAATAGCTGCCTATTTCTGTACTTGCATGTCTTCCTATAAAGACTTTCTGCTTTCTTCCCCAATAATTCTCCTCCTTCAGATCTACCACCACCCAAATGAAAGGGTCTAGACCTGCAGGCCCCTGAAATCCTGTCTGTGTTTGTTTCCTCCTGTGATTATCAAGCTGCCTCAGGATGGCAGCAACACCTTCTGCAGCCCTGTATGCCCAACACTTAGTACAGTTACCTGTTTATATATTGTCTTAATGGGGGAGGGGGTTCTCACTTACTCAATACACATTCTCTAAAAACACAATTGAAAGCTCTATCCATATATACACATGTTCAAATTTGTTGGAGGTAGTTTCAGGAGGCTTTTGCAGACTTGCTCCCATGCAAGACTGGTAAAATTTCTCCTTGGCTACTCTTGACTCTGGCCTGGACTGCATTGGATCTTGCAGGTTCTGGACAGGAAGCCTACTTGGGTTTTGATTTAGCTTTCTTCTTTCTTTCTCCCTTTCTTTCTTTCTCTTTTCTTTTCTTCCTTTCTTTCCCTTATTTCTTTCTTCCTCCTCCTCCCTTTTTCTTTTTAAATTAGAACTGAAACCACAGAACTCTCTGAAACCCCTTTGCGGCCAAAGCTCCCATTCTCCTGTCGCCTACTCACAGGCCATGCAGATTCATAAGTGTTCCCATATGTAGTTGTGTCCACGTGCTGGCAGGGGTGGACAGGCAGATACCTTTACTCCTCTGAGCCTTATTCCTCACCTATGCTCTTGGTGATACCTGCCTTGCAGGGCCCATGTGGATTTTGAATGAGTTCTGTGTGGGATGGAGGAGTGTTTCAGTAACTGATCCAGTCTTAGAGCCCAAGCCCCGAACCATTCTCACTCCATCTGAAAAGGACAGTCTCCTGTCATGGTTTCTCCTTTGCCTAGGCTTGCAGGCACCCATGATGGGGTTGTCACTACTACAGAATTCTTTCTTGGACTGAGAAAGTGATCTCTGGAGCCTTTCTCCTTTTAGTCCTTCCCACTGGGGACACTGAAAACAAGGCCAGGCCCACACCCCAGTGCAGCCTCTGCAGGGGAAAAGAAGGCTTTCAGCATCCTGGTGAGGCCTGTAGAATTCTTGAGGCTTCAGTTGGGTTTCTACAGAAACCTATTCAAGTATAAAGAAAGGAAGATTGATATGTTGTTTTTCAGCCCCTCTGCATCCCTCGGGTCCACATCCACGGATTCAACCAATTGTGGGTTGAAATTGCTGCTCTATGAAGAAAAACCTGTATCTGTACTGAATACGTACAAACTATTTCTCTTGATTATTTGCTAAATGACAGAGTATAGCAAAAGTTAAAAGGCACTCACGTTGTTTAAGATTATGAGTAACCTAGGGATTGTGTGAAATGTAACAGAGGTTTACATGGGTCATTGGTAAATGCTTCCCTATTTTAAATGAAGTTTTAGCATCAGCAGGCTTGGGGTTTGTGTATACAGGCAACTATGAGAGACTATGTTAACACACATCAGAGGTGCCCTTTGGAAGGTCCAGGGGGGCTTCTTAGAGGAAGTGATATTCAAACCAAGTAGAATCAAAACTGAGATGCAAGAACAGCCCTTCACTGCTACAGCAATAGGAGACAGGTGACATCAGCGAGGGATTTGCAGCAGCCTGTCACCACTGTCAAGTTGTCAGGGTTTGCTAAAGTCTACCTCTGGGCTGTGTCCTCTTCAGACCTAGCCCTGACCGGACAGCACATTTCCCCACTAACCTCGCAATAGACAGAAGACACAGAGTTGTAGCCTCAGTAGGGGCCCAGACGCAAGACAGTTGAGACTGGGTATGAGTTAAGTTCCAGCCCTGTGGCTCCATCTCTCTGCACATCTCTTTGGACAGTGTGAGTGGGAACAGCAGCGCCTCCTCCCTGGACTGTTGTGTGGATTGAATGAGAGGTTTTAGGAAAGGTAGCCCAACCCCTCAGCGTGTCCACAGCTGTCATTTACTTTCCTCCTTGTTTGACAAGGCCGTGCAGGCTGATCTGATCTCAGACCTCCCTCAAAACAGATAATGTCATAGTCTGTGCTGCTTGCCAAGGACTTGCATCAGAACTGAGTTCTAGAGAGTGCTGTGATGTGCCAGGCCCTGGGAAGGGTGGCTAAGGACCCTAGCAGAGAGCAAGCCCTGAGACCCATGGACTTTCCCTGGAGGGCAGGAAGAGGTCTCTTATAGGGTTCAAAAGCTGCAAAGAGAAAGAATTGAATTCGCACCACAGTGATCTCCGAAGGCCTGACCAGCAGAGACAGCAGATGTTCCCAGTGGCAGAAGTGGTGGCACTGGCTCCTGATGGCACCTGGCTTCTTCCCCGAGGCTGCACTCCATCCTGAGAGCCTGTTCTTCCCTGGAGGGATGGAAGTTGCTCCTCAAATCTAGAAGACAGCCTTCAAGCCTGCAAAGACTTGCCTTTGTTTCATTCCCGAACCACTCCCCCCATGATGGGGACCCACTTTGGCTACAGTCCCCAGTCAGAGTGGTTGGGCCTCCTGGAGCCAGGAGCACCATTATCTCTTGGAAAAGTGTCTGCATAGCATCTCTGTCTGCCTTCTCAGAAGTCACCAAAGTTGCCAGAGGATGAGGATAATTGCCAACTGTGTCTGCTTCTAGCTGCAGCTGGACCTCTCTGAGAAGCTTTGCTGAACCCTTCTGGAAGGATGGGCATGGCAGGAAACAGGATGTAACAAGGCTTCATTGAGAAGACTCTGAGGGCAGGTTTGGGTTTGGAGGTAAGGGAAGTGTTATAGGAACCAGTGGAAAAAGGTAGGCTAGCTAGTGCTGGCAAACAGGGACAAGACTGTTGGGAGATGTCATTCTGTAAATATGTGTCTGATTGGTTTGAATAAAGCACTGTTGGCCAATAGGGAAACAAGAAAGGTGGGACTAGGAGTCTAGGAGGATTCTGGGAATTGTAGTGAAGAGACTGGTCGCCATGTGATCTCCCGGGAGGAAAAGATGTAGCAGGAGTGGATCCTCATAAAGACAAGTCCTTATAAAATATACATTAGTAATTATGGATCAATAATCAAATCAGAGCTAGCAGATAAGAAACCAAACAAACGACCAACAGCTTCATAATTAATATAGTTTCCTGTGTGTTCCTTTGGGTTAGCGGGGCTCAGGGACCTAGGCTATAATTGAAGGGAAGTCCTGGATGCTTGAACAAGACAACTCTACACTTTAGGAGTAATTCCATGGAACTAGCTGCCAATTTAGAGACTAGTAAAGAAAAGTACGGGGTGAGGGGGGGATGCATGACCATTGTCTCCCCACTGCCTGGCTTCTGCTGGAGTATCTCTTTGGCCATAATAAAAGGTCTAACTAATGACTTAGAGGACCCAGGAACCTGAGGGATGCAGGGCTGTTCCTTCTGGGGAGCAGAGCAGGCAGAGTGGGTAGAGCAGTGGATTGGATGGGAAGGACCACACAGAAACACCACAACAGGCTTCCTGGAACCCTGAAGTGAGAAGGAAACAGCCAGCCCTGAGGTGGGGACGGTCCCCAAGAAAGAGAATGCCATTTAAGGGGAAGAGTGATCCAGGCTAAAAGGCAGCTTTTGCTTTCCCAGCCAGACAAGAGTGTGCAAAGGTCCTGGGTCTAGAACATCCACCAGAAGATTCCATGCGGCCATAGACATTTCTTACTCTGGTGATTACACAACTGTGGAGAGCAAAGAGGTTGTTCAGCATTCCTGAAACTCACCCATCTTCCGAAGGACCAGTTCTCTCCGCAGGCCACCATAACAGGAAGCAACAGTTCCAATGTGGTGGTAAAATAATGAGGATTGTGCTGAAGAGCTTGCAAGTGGTTTGCTGAGAGCCTTCCAGGTGCTGTATTTGCTAGCCGCAAGGGAAGGCTGCTGGACATTGGGAGAGACTGTCTTCAAGGCCAGGTGGCCACAAATGTGTAATAGACAGGCGTCCTATGTAAAGAGAAGCTTTTTCTTTGAGAGAAGCCTTCCCACCAGCCTGGTTCTAGAGCCGCATCAGTCCCAAATAAACACACAGGAGGCTATATTAATTATGAAGCTGTTGGCCTTGCTTGTTTCTTACTGGCTAGCTCTGACTTAAGTATTTACCCCATAATTGTTAATCTAAGTATTTCTCTTACCGGAGAATAGTTCCGGGCTTCCTACCCCATGGCGGTTACATCTTGCCCTCTTGTGTTTCTCCTTCCCAGAGTCCTCCTGGACTCCTAGTCCCACCTATCTAGATTCCTATTGGCTCAACAGTGCTTTATTGACATAAGACTTCCCTAACAGTCCTACCCATGACTTACACCGCAATTGCCTCCCTGAAGTGTACTTGCCACATGGCCCAGCACACTCGGTTTTCCAGCCATGCTAATCTTCTGTGGTGTCGTTGATGCTGACATAGACAACCACCGTGGACCTCATCCAGAGACCAAGGAAAGAGTTTTCAGTGATGGGGCCAAAGAACAGCCACCCTCCTGAGAAGGAATTCTCAGAACAAGAGCTGTGGAACAGAGGGCCCCATAGAAGAGACTTCTGGTGAGCACAAAAGAAAAAACGATCCCGGCTGAAGGGATAGCATATGGGACACAGGTCTGGGAGCAGGGGGACACATTGTGGTAAGCCATACCGGTTGGGAAGACCCAAGATGGAGACTGGTTTGCCATTTCCTGGTGATGTTCCTAAGTCTCAGTAAAACAGGATGGTGGTGGTTACTTCCTCATAGGAGGATTCTGTGAGACGAAGCTAAGAAGTCTTTGGCCAACACAGGCCATGGCAAACACCAACAAAGCACCAGTTTTTCATTCCATGTTGTCCTTTCTAGCAACAGCAATGTGGTTTTGTGAGTAAATCCCAATGGGCACCCTAGAGGACACTCCAGAGACAGGACAGCACCAAAGAGGCAGACAGGTTCCTCAGGAAGGGTGTGGAATGGAGAAGAAGCAAAGGGAACTTTTAGCAGGAAAAGAATCCTGAAGAGATAAGGTGAGGCAGAAGGAGCACGGATGCTGGGAGGGAACCTGAGCTCGATTTGGGAGCAGAGATATTAGAGTCTAATAATTAGACAAATGGACCTTAAGACAGTTTGGACAGGGTGTATCTTGAGTAACTGAAGAAAATGCTATGGGATTCAGCTTTCTCCCTAGTAGAACAGGCTTGCTAGCCTTACCTCAGTGGTCTGTGGAGTCACCTAGTAGAATCTTGTCAGCTCTCCTGCAGGCCACGATCATTAAAGGAAGGGCAGCTGGTTTTCCATGAGGTGTTCAGTGAGACATGAAGGAGACCAGAAGAAGTCTAAGTCTACATGTCCCCGGAGTGAACTGTTGAGCCCACCTGCCCCCTTCCCACCTCTGACCTGAGAGTGCAAACCACATTGAGGACCTCAGCAGTCAAAAGCCCTTTTGATGTGGGGACAGGGTACTCAAAGAGGGACAAGAACAGTTTTTCAGGAAATGCCTAAAGTAGACCTAACCTTGTCTCCTGTGTGAATTCTGACCACAATATGGCCACTGGGACTTGTAGTGAACAGGGCCAGGACCAAGTGTCAAGTCTACCACTGCCAGTAACAAGCATTATCACACACTGAGCTTCCTGTCACTGAGTCATGCTCTGGTTTGCCCTAAGCTCTCAGGTCCTTGTATTCTCCGTCAAATGAATTTCGATGAAGCCAGTAGAATGTGTTAAGGGATAATAGAAGTCACAGTTTTAGCTTCAGCTGTCAGCATGACAAACCTAGAGTCACCTGGGCAGAGGGACCCTCAACTGAAGAATCGCCTCAATCATCTAGGCTTGTAGCATCTTCATGAGGCATTTTCTTAATTGCCAACTGACATGGGGAGCCCAGCCCGTTGTGAGCAGTACCATGCCTAGGCAGATGAGTCGGCATCATTTAGGAATGATAACTGGATGTAAGCCGGGAGCAAGCCAGTAAGCAGCATTCCTCCATGGCTCTTCTTTAATTCCTGCCTCCAGGTTTCTGCCTTGAGCTCCTATCCAGGCTTCCCTTGCTTGATGATGGACTCTGATACGGAAGTATAGGTCAAATAAACCCCTTCATCCCCCAGGTTGCTTTTGGTCAGTGTTTTATCATAGCAATAGAGACCAAACTAAGACATACGCACAAAGACGAGATTGGACATTTGCCTGTGGAGGAAAGCATTGTCACTGGGCAAGAGTAGACAGCAGTCAAAGGGACCATTGCAACAACCTACATTTCAGACATTTCAGGTAGGTTTTTATAGCATTTCTTAAAGTTTCCCTCCCTCCCTCCCTCCCTCCCTCCCTCTCTCTCTCTCTCTCTCTCTCTCTCTCTCTCTCTCTCTCTCTCTCTCTCTCTCTCTCTCTCTCTCTCCCTCTATCCTCTCTCTCTCCCCCTCACAGTGTGTGTGTGTGTGTGTGTGTGTGTGTGTGTGTGATGGTTTATTATCTCTACAAAATTTGGGGCTACACAAGCAAGAAAAAAATAAGCGATCTCTGCCTTTCTACATCCAACTTATTTCACCTAATATGATCTCCAGTTGCATCCATTTTCTAGCAAGTGACTAATTCAAGCAAATGAATTAGTGAATAAAGTAATCTCTATGGATGAATAAAACTCCAGTGTGTATATGTGTTGCATTTTCTTTTTCCATTCATCTATGAATGGACACATAGCTGATTCTAACTTGGTTATTGAGAATCGTTCCTGTACCTTGCCTTAGACTCCTTTAGATGCAAACACGGAAGTGGTCTACCTGGGTCACATGGTAGTTCTGGTTTTAGTGTTCTGAGGAACAAGGATACTGATTTCCATAGTGGCTAGGCTAATGTGGATTTTTAGCAACTAAAAATTCAGAAGGTACAAAATATTAATACTCAGTAAAACAATGGAGAAGTACTTAACTTATCCAGACCGACTCTGTCAACTTCCTATTATGGGTGTGTGCTTCAGAAAACAGCCTGGAGCAAGAGTCCTTAGAAGATTCATGGAGTGCATGATCCAGTCCCCAAGTGGGGAGGAAATGAGGGACAGTGCTCTGAGTGGTGAGTTGTTAGTGTCACTCATGCAGTCTCTGCAACTACCTATACAATAGGTTCCATTATGACACCCATTAGTGGACAAGGAAACCAATAAACCACAGGTTCATATCAAGCAAACATGACATCTAGTAAGCTGGAAAGCAGACATGTCATAGAGTTGGAGTGGACCCGCAAATCCTGAAACACTCTGTGGTCCAGGCACAGTGCAGGTATTCTGCATGCAATACACACTTAAAAGTCCTAGAAAAGCTTAAATGATTCGGGTAGTCCAAAATTTCCACCTTCAAGGAATCTCTTGATGGAAGTGCACAGCTACCCTTGACCCGCATATAGTTCAACTGAGGAATAGGTCTGGATAATAAGTAAATCTTGAGAACAATGAAATGTAGATTTCCTTCAGCAGTGGGCCCTGCTGCCTTAACTCAGCCTAGACTTAGACCTCCTGCAAGGTTGCCAAGGAGTAGTTTGTAAAGGGAGAAGATAATGGGTTTCGAGCTGTGATGGTTTGAACTTAAGTGTTTCCCCCAAATCTTGACTTATTGAAGACAAGGTTCTCCATGCAAGCAGGGTTCAGAGGAGGGACTTTTTGGAAGTTATTGGATCTTGCAAGTGATTGGGTCCTGCCTACACAAATAATTATGTGTTATGAAGAAAAAGAGAAAAACAGACAGACAGACAGACAGAAAGATGGAGGGCGGAAAGAAGGGAGGAAAGAAGGAAGGAAGGAAGAAGGGAGGGGGGAGGGAGGAAGGGAGGGAGGGAGGGAGGGAGGGAGGGAGGGAGGGAGATAAAAAGTTGGAGGAGAAAGATTGCCAAGAACTCCAAAAGGAAAGCTTCAGACAGGAGCCGGGCTGGGGTAACACAGCAGACTTCCAACACCCTACCACTATTTCTCTAGCCTAGATTTTGTCTGACTTTTCCAAATGTTCAAAGTGAGCATCTGTGCCATTGTACCTTACTGGATGATCAGCAGGGTTTAGCATGCTTCTGTGCCTCTTTACTCTGGACTGATTTCACTTCATCCTTTCCAAGCACTCCAGAAACAAGTCAATTTTACCAAAAAGGGGCTAACACTGATGAACAGGATGAAAAATAATCTTTGCATTTTCAGGCTAAGAGGCTCTAAAGCTTCCCCCTACATACACATGCACAATGATTTTTAAATGCCCTTGTATTGTTGAGAAACTAGAGGTCATGAGGTAGTAACTTTGCCCAGTCACCAGCTAGTAGTAGAGCTCAGATCTAAGCATGTGTCCTCTGATCACAGAAACCATGCAGATATTTAATTTTGGCCAGGCTTCATGGTCTAGAATATGGCTTCTTAATGGCGGCAAGACCATTGGCTATTTCGTCTGGATGATACTGAGTTATGGAGCATGGACCCATGCTCTCCTGACCTCCACTCACTGTGCTTGTATTGAGTCTTTGTCAAGCTGACAAAAGAAAAACAAAAACAAAAGAACAACAAAAAACCTCACCAGGAGGCATAATATTTGCTATATAAATTGATGATAGCACATGGTCATGATATTAAGCAAACATGGTAAATGAGAACAAGGCAAATGCTATTCGAAGAGGGAGAGGAGAGGTCAGAAGAGTGTGGATACCAGTCTATTCAATGATTCTAGGTCATCTTGGGTCTCAGCATTCTGAGAACAAAGGAGAGCTCTCCTTGGGGGCAGCATGTGTCGTACTTCTCTTCTGTGTTTTCGCCTCTGTGTGGTTCAAATGGAGACACAGAATATCAACCTCACAAGACTTTTATGTGGACCAGTAAGATGGAGGGCACGCTGGGCTGCTTAGCTCAGTATGGCACAACACGCAGAAATGTTCTATCTTTATGTGACTCATGAGGAAACAAAGGCTACAGGGTATTTCCAAATAGCCCTCAGGTCTCGTACTCCTGGGTAGCTCCACCTCCTCTCAACCCCGTCTTCCTACCCACATCAGTTGTACC